TCAGGAAAGCTGTAACCTTGCTTCTGTCGTGGCGACCTAAAAGGGTTGCTTTGTTTCCCAATGCTGGGGCTGAAACCCATGGCCACGCATGTGGTAGGAAAGCTTTCTACCCCTGAGCTCCATCCCCAGCCTCATAATTACTACTTACAGGCAAGAAATGGTGATGTCAAGAAGAGAGAAGATTAAAGAAGAGATCCTGGCCAGGGATTTAGCTCAGTGGTTCTGCCGCCTGCCTCACAAGCACAAGCGCAAGGACCCGAGTTCAACCCTCCTTACCAAAAAACAAACAAACAAAAAACCAAAACAGGTCCGAGGCCCCTCTTTTCTTCCATTTCCTACAGTTAAAGAGCAGCACTCCGCTCCTCCACCTTTCTGACTTTCCCTGAGGTGACCATTGGCTCACTGCACTTCTTAGTCTTCATCTACAAACTTTCTTGACCTCGGCCCTTCATTCAGCATGGCAACCACAGCAGGAAAACTTGGAGCAGAAACAGCCAGATGTTGGGAAGAAGAAGGTTATCTCATGGGCCAGACGAGACCTATTTGCGAAGATTGTTGAATTCTTCTTTACCTGAAGGTCTCTACGTATGGTGGGCAATGCTGTTGGACTTCTCTGCAACCCCATGTTTTCATCCTTGAGCTTTGGGGAAGTTCACATGGCTTTGGGGGGTGGTCTAACCGGCTCATATGGCTTTTAGTGTCACTCTTTTCACTGGCAACAGATTCAGGACTAGGCAGATATAATTATGACAATAGCAGGTTTGATGGAGGCCTCTAGGAAAACTTTCTGTATTATTATTAAAAAAGGATTCAAGAAAGGAAATGTTTGGTCTTCCAGCCTTTGGCTCTGTGAGGGTAAGGTATTTGGAGCTGCTGAAACCATTTTGAAAACATGAAGAGAACAGTCAAGGGCAAATGCCAGCAGGCATTGGGTGTCAAAGCATAAAGACAGAAGCAACCTGCATTCGTGAGCTGCCGACCAAGCCTGAGCTTGAATCATTCTTCCTGTCACAGAAGATAAAAATGCTATCATTTGTGGCCTTGTTTAGTAACCAAATACAAATGAAATGTTCTAAGCGATAGACTAAAGAAGGAAAGGTAGAAACATTAGGTGAGGAATTGGGTCGCTTTACTCATTGAGCCACCAGAAGAAATGGGAACGTGTTACTTAACCTGCTCACACATAATGCTTGTATAGAGCTGCTAAAGCAATATCACTAAAATAGATTGCTTTCACTTTTTAAATCAGGACTTAGAAAATCCCCAATTAGGTCAAAATGCAAAAGAAATAAGCTTCTCTGAAAGTGGTGTACTATGGAAATATCACAGCAAAACCCATAACTTCGTACAATTAATACATTAGCAAATATTTTCTGTTCGCTAAATACTGGACTTTTCTGCACTCTTATTACAGTTGTCTTGTCATTATTTCTTCACACCGACCATTTTCTGTTTCTGAGCTCTCTTCTGGGTGCCTTCCTTGGCCTAGGCCCCCTGCCTGTCACTGAGTTTCCCCTGCATTTCTGCAGGAAGCACAGGGTAAGTACCAAGGAGACTAGGAATGCACCATACAGGGGAGTCTGGCCCACTGCTTTCTGTGAATACTGTCTCTCCATCACCTCTCACTCGCCCTCAGCTCTAGGAAGCTGTATGACACAATACACACGTGTTTAAAGATGTACCCAAATATGGAAGGGTGTTTCACTGGGCACTGTAGCATGCACACCTGTGATCCTAGCACTCTGGGAGGCTGAGGCAGGAGGATCCCAAGTTCGAGTTCAGCCTGAGCAATTTAGTGACTTAGTGAAACCCTGCCTCAAAAAAAAAAAAAAAAA